CCTGGCTTGACCCGCATGTTGAGGCCCTCATAAATACCGATGCTAGTACCCGTCGCTCTCCCTATCACGCCCTAGAGCAAGCCTTTGCCCTCGCATCATGCCGAGCCTCGTGAACCCTAGCACTGCCACCATCTTCACCGCCTCGCCGAGCACTGCGCTGCTCTCGTCCACTTCATGCCTTGGTAAGCTACCTCGACGAGTTCGCCTTGCTCTCCTCTAGCTTCCGGTGGTGTTGGTTCGTTATTTCATGGTCTATAGATTGTAATCCCAGAGCGCCGCCTGTCTCCGGCCATGGCGCCGCCGACCTCGTCGGCGTTCCCCATCCCATCCAGATGTGTTTTGAGCCGTCCAATCTGAGATCAAGGGCCCAGATTAGAAGATACCCTTTCGCTGTGAAATTTGCAAAAAGGCCCTTACAATTAATTAGATCTCAACCCGCTGTCCCTGGCTTCTTTCAAAAGGACCCCTGTCTTTTCTTTTAATAATACCCACAATCCTCGACCGGATTTAAAAATCAGGTTTTATTTATTTTAATTCAAAAATCAAGTTTCCTCTATTTACAGAACTGCCACTACCTTCTATAGGTCATAAAATCCTTGTTTTAACTCTGATTTGGTCCGTTCAACTTGCGTTAGGTTTGTAATTCCATAATCTACATGTTCATACTACTGTTAATTATGTTTTCAACTTTTAAAATTTGAGATTAGATTTAATCTATAATTTTACTAAAGTAAATCTTGTTTAATTCATAACTTCTTCGCTTTAGCTCCAATTTTTATGATCTTCACGTCTGTGTGTTCGTAGTGAGATGTAGATTTGTTTTGCAAATTTTTCATCTTGATTGTATACTATTGGTGTATTATTCTAATCTATAGCTTTTGTTTGCTATGCATGATTGCTTCTGGATGCTTGTATGTTGCTGTGATTATCGAGTATAGACGGTGAGCAACTCATGGGAGACCAAGAGTATTACTTTGACGAGCAGGATCAGCAGGAGCATTTTATTCAAGGCAAGTATAGCATAGGATTATTCTTGTTTCCTATCAACTTTAATACATTTAATTCATGTTGCATGTGTCACCTTGATGGGTAACATATGGCTATGGTAATGATGATTTTTCTGAGGATTACTAGACTTGTGGTCAACCAGTTGACGTCCCTGTGATATGAAGCTTCCGCGAGAGAATTTTTCTTTATGCTTCCGCTATATTTATGTGAAGACTATGTCCTATTATTCGAGATGTAATAAACACTTGTGATGATACTATTTATAATTTGTCGACTTATGTGTGTGACTGATCTCTAGACGCACATAAGATCATGGTTTATCCTTAAAATTTCATTTTATCCTTAAAATTGGGTGTGACAAAAAACCACAAGAAGATGCTCTATATAGAAGCGGATTCAAGCAATACCAGCCATAGGATCAAAGATCGGACGGTCAAAAACAATCAGGGTGACGTGGAACCTCCCAATGGCCAGGAGCCCCTAAGGTTCTCTTGATCTTAAATACCTTGTAAGTAAGTCTATATCAAATTAAAATACAACAAAAGATAATTTTCTTTCTCCTGTTATAAAGCACATAAATATTTACTTCTAACTATATCATAACTTTAATCTTCATACTATCGATGTGTTGAAAGAGTTAAACATCGAATTATATGGCGTCATTTGAAGATTCATGAAAATCTATAATTCTGAATTTTGATTAAAGTCGGCAAAGAATTTGTTGTCGCCCTATCAAAGGATTGGTGTTTCCATTCTTGATTTATTGTAGTCCATGTCAAGAATTGCACTCGCGTATGCACATAGTTTAGACACACATTTCTGATTAAGGTCGGCAAAGAATTGGATTGGTCTTTCCATTCTTGATTTTTCATGTTGTAGTCCATGTCAAGAATTGCACTGGCGTATGCGCATAGTTTAGACACACATTTCTGATTAAGGTCAGCAAAGAATTAGTTGTCACCCTATTAAAGGATTGGTCTTTCCGTTCTTGATTTTCAATATTGTAGTCCATGTCAAGAATTGCACTGGTGTATGCGTATAATTTAGACACACATTTGTTTCAATTAGATTCAAACCACTCAATATTTCAATTCATGGTTTAATTAGTTGGGCCATTAGTTCATGTAGGTCTAACAAAAATAAATTTTGTTCCTAATTTGAACTATATCAATAATTTAATAGGGAAGTATTTGTTAATATTATATTTGTTATTTATTTTTGATGTTTATAAAAGAAAGAAGGACATACTTTGGGAAAAGGAAAAACAAAAAAAGGGCCAAGAACAACGGGCCAAGAAGGACACGGGAAAACCTCACGATGTGTAAATAAAAAAAAACGAAGCTAAAAAACCAAAAAAGGAAAATACGGACAGGAAGGTAGTAGTCCGGAGCGGGAAAATAATACGGAACTAAACAACACCGAGACAAAAAAAGGGAAAAGAACAGGATGTAGTAGTAGTCCGGGACAAAAATAAAAAAGGACAAACCATGGATTGAAAAAGAACAAAAAAAACGACAAACCATACAATTTATACTTTTATACCTTTTTCTATTAGATTAGAATTACTATTTAGGTTACTCAAAGAATTGGACAAATGTATTTATATTAGGATTAGGATTCACAGTTATCCAGGTTACGGTGTATATAAAACAAGAGGCCGTAGACAAACCAATATAGAATTTTCACATTCATGGAGTTAGTTAGGGGAGGTGGATTAAAAAAATGGCCAAAATTTTGCCTATTTATTATTAGGTATAGATATAGACTAGGTTCGTGCCCATGCATTGCTACGGGACAGCTAAACTTTTATACTAAAAACATAGGGATCGCACGATAAGATAACAATACTGTGAAATTAAATACCGACGTTAAAGTGACATTTAATTCAAAAAGCAAAGTTTGTGATATTAACACAGTCGCAGAGAGAGGGGCATCGCAGGCGCACAAACTATACTGTATGTTCCTTTCCTTGATGCGGTTAAGATAACGGTTTATATCGGCAGGAAGAAATCTCTGATATCCATTTTTTCGTGCGCCAATAAATCCACAAATAAATTCCGCCGCATCTACATTGCCCATACTAACGCTACGATATGTTTCGTAATGCAAATCAAACAAGCAAAAGGCAATACACATCTTGGTATTCAAGCATAGAATGAGATATATTAAGGTGCATGTAAAGAGAGAGAGAGAGAGAGCGCTATTATATTTAAGTCCCCCAAAAAAGCATCGAAGTCCCTTCAAATATCATGAAAGCTAGCAGGCCATTGATCTAACCAATTTCATGATCACTGGTCACGACTCATATAGCCAAGATGGGGGACAAATTGGTTGTCGGCTTCAGATTTCATGGAATGCATGTTACTCCGATGCTCTGTAGTATTTTTCTAAAAGTAAAACAGTGCTAAACACATAAGAAATGAGCAAATAGGCTGAGGTATTCAATTGTAGAATCTGTTTTCTTTTCTCCAAGTCCAGCACCACGCCGTCCACCACGCCAGCCTCCGTCCTCTCAAAGGTGCCATGTTGGTAGCATCCCCTTCCATAAATTCAAAATTTGAATTTAGCACAATACAAGAATGGAAGTACTATTATAAAAATTGAATCCGCAGTATCATGATTTTTTGAAGACATGGCAAACAATCATGAAGGAACCTAAGCCAGCAAACAAAGAAAATTAGCGCATGTGATGAGGGGTTATCACAGACGTGGATTGTCTAAACGCGTCTGTGATGATGAACTGAAAAATTAAAAAAAATATCAATGCCAGGTCACACATAATACTATACAATTTATTTCATCATCATCATACAGACAAAATGCCAGGAATATACTTTAGTAAATACTGTCCAATACAGGCAATGCAAAGATCAAAACTTCATGCATGTGTTTATGTACTATCCTAACAAGTGTGAATTCACAGAGAACAAGGCACAAATTCATGAAGGGCTCCAGTGGCTCCCAGGGCTTCTTTCTGAGTTCACTTGCTTCCTGCAGCGCACATATTAACCTCAAGAATACGGCATATATTTAACCCAATGATTACTTAACTTGTTTACAGTCAACAACCTCACAGCCTCACATTAAAGATATGAAGGCACGCCGAATCGGCGGTCTCCCAGGGTGTCAACGTACGTTCTTTTTATTTGGTGCGTTAGATAGAAATTCCACGGCTCAGTTGAGATAGATGAAGCAACTGTGCCCATTAAATGAAGTACGGCCGCCTGCTGATTGTACACGACACGCAAATCGACGGTGGCGCGTAGCAGAGGACGGTGAATTCTCGACATGCATGGTCCGTGCATGGTGGTCGGCACGAGCCTTGCTTGCATGCATGCAAAAGCTGCTGACACTTGCTTGCTTCACGAATAGCTGGTTGCCTGAAAAAAAAATATAACAAATGTTCCACCCTTCTCATCTCCCTCCAGTTCAATTGAATGCTCACGTTTCTATCTCCTTTTTCAGTCTCAGATGTCATCTGGCGAGGAGGCACTGGTGGCGGCCTGCTGCGGTGCTGTCTACACTGCTCCCCCACCGGCGAGGAGGCGTCATGGGGCAGCAGCTTCGACGTTGGTGCCGGCTCTTCTCGCGTCCGCGTCCCTCCCCCTCCGATGGCTGCTGCGGTGGGCTCCCACCACCATCACCGACTGCCCTGGCAGCGCGCGGCCCATCCCTGACCCTTCCCTGACCCGCGGTGGCGCAGCCCCGCTCCTCCCCGACCGGCGGCGCGCGGCCTCGCCCCTTCCCCGACCCACGGTGGCACGGCCCCGCTCCTTCCCCGATCCGCGGCGGCGCTAATCCACCCCTTCCCCGACCGGCGGCGTCGGCCCCTTCCCCCACGCGCGCTCGGCTCCCCGGCAGAGGCGGGCCCTTGCTGCGGTGCGGCCCGACCCGCAGCCACGGCGGCCCCTTGCAGCGGCGTGGACCCGCTCCTCCGACCCGCGGCGTCCTTGCTCCCGTCGAGTGACTAGCGGGCTACAACGAACAACGGGATGGAGATGCCGGTGTACGGTGGTGGGATGTGGCAGACGACAGCAGCCCGGCCATGGAGTCGATCGGGTGTTCCTCAGGTTCGGTTCCATCTTCTAGCTCCCCCAGTATCCTCTTTCAGTGGATCCAGGCACCACTCAACGCAGATCGCGGAATCCATATCGATCTCGAGCAGGTACCTCTGTCCGCGCCTCCGTGGTCGGCCTGGTAGGGAGCGCGGCGGCCTAGCACTACCGGCGGCGGTCAGGAGCACCACGGCTTGCCCGACGCTGTGGAGCCGAAGGTCGTTCCCGGCTGGGAGTAGCCGCCGTCCGCGTCCGCTCTTCCTCCTCGCGCTGCCGATCTCCCGCCCGGGCCTTGCCAGCTATTGCGTTTGTCGCCTCGCCGACAACATCATCTCTGGTGATTTCAACTATGTCATCAGCCTGCTCGCCGTGCGGAGGACGAGCGGGCGCTGGGGCCACTCGTCAGGCTCTTCTCGGCTTGCGGCTGGGATTAGCCCCACCTCACCGGCCCCGACGATGGCTCCTCATCCTACTCCAGGGACCACTCTAAGGGCCGCGACGACCTGCTCCTGATCTGGTGGCTCTTCGATCTAGTAGCTGCATCTACGATTTGGTGAGTAGCTGCTGCCTTTTAGGTGCTCGATGATATGCCCTGCTATTGTTGGATGGACCGATTTGCTTATATTGCCTTCCTTCTTTTGGCCCAGCTGTACCGAATGCGCAGCACAGACGCAGGGATAGCATTGGCGTGCAGCATGCTTGGGCTTTCAATTTCTTTTTATTTTTTGCCGGTGTTTCTTTGCTTTCTTGTTGATGCCCCCTTGTGAACTTCTCCAGGCACTATGAGGATGTTACTAGCAATTTCTTTTGGTGTGGAATAGGCAGAGCTTTGCATCTCAGATCTCAAGAACCCTGTTGATACTTGCTAATTCCTATTGAGTCTCTGTTTTTTTATGCTTCTTAAGCCATAGTTGCTATGCCATGTTTTGATTCGATTTGGTTACAGCATTGTAGGAACATGGGGTTGCGGCAAATGAAGAGCTAGCAATGCAAGCAAGCATGGTTTTCTATGCAATATTGATGCATCCATTTAGAGACAAATTGTTTCTGTCCTTGCATACATAAATTTCTATGCATAGCAATTATGATTTGACAATCTGCCTAAATAAAATATTTATTTAAGATGGTCAGTGCAGGTCTAAAAAAACTAGATAAATAACGATTATCGTAGTTTGTTTTCATGTACTTTGTTTTTTTTGTTTCGATGCTTCTTGAGCCAACTGTGTAAGCAAGAAATCATCCGGAATTGTATACTTTGTTGGAGCAGATTTTATATATTGTTGGAACACGATTTTATACATTGTTGGAGCACATTAATATTTAATGTTGGAACACACATTTCTATACATTGTATTAACATTTTATACATTGTTTGAGCACAAATTTATACATTGTTGGAGCACATTTATACATTGTTGCGTGGACGGCGAGATCTTGGCAGACGAGAAGCAGCGAGGTGTCGCTGGATCCAGTGCAATGACCACCGCTTCCTCCCGCGTGGCTCGTGGCCAGAGGCCCGAGCGGCCACGGTGCCAGTGGCGCGGCTCTGCCCTCTCCCTCCTACCTAGCGGCGCCCCCCTCCATCCCGGCGGACGGCGTCCCACCCCACGACGACGGTGCGGCCCACCCCACGTGGTGCCTCCACCACATCAGCAGCGTCATCACCTGTAGATGACCAGAGGCGAAGGGATCCTACACCTGCCGCTATAGCTCTCCACGCTCGGCATCAACCAGCACCACCCTATGCTTGTATCTTCAAATTTCTAGTATTTGCATCAATGTGAGTTTCTGTTCGACCATTAGTGAGTTTCTATGCATATCAAAGTTGGTACTACATCTTCAATTTTCTATGATTTACCTGGTGTCTGCTTGCTTTGATTCAATTGCAAAGATGTGGATTGCAGGGATGTTTGTGACAGAAAGGATGGGTGGGTGCGGCCAGCAGCACTGAGGAATATGTGGATTTTTTATGCACATGAATTATGTTTTTTTGCTGTATAAAAATGTATTTTAATAGGACGATTTGGTACTGCTATGAGATGATTTTTATGTAATTGCTTAACAATTTTGATGCCCTCTGAAGTGGATGTTTTTATGCTTATCCTTGATATAATGTGAATGAAATTGAAATCTTTAATTTTTGAATGCATTAATGTAGCTAATGTTAGTTTCATTACTGTTTTTATGCTTTTCATTGATACGATGCTTTCCATTGATATGATGCGCTAATGTTAGTTCCATTACTGTTTTTATGTTCTTCATTGATTTTTATGTAATTATTGTTTTTATGCTTTTCATTGATATGATGTGCAATGATACACAATGGTGAAGCAGCAAGCCCCAAGAAGCAGAGTCCAAGCAGGAGCCCATCTGGCTCACGCTCTCCTGATGTAAAATGATTCTATTCTTATTTTCTGTACTTGGTAATAGCAAACACAGCTGAACTGACAGCAATTCGATCAAAATTTGCAGGCGAAACCTGAATAAAATTGATATGATGTTGAGGATTGCAGATGGAGTCTAGAGATCTTCTTTTCTAGACTCTTGTCCTCCATATTGTTCTACTTCCATCCTTGGCTTAGCAACAGTACCAGATTCGATGATATTAACTATTAGTATCTTATTTCCCATGCATGCAGAGGCGCCCGTACTTGTGTTATAGTTTTTGCTCTTTCCACCTATAATGTAATCCTAGCCAATGTTGTGCTTTGAATCTAAGTGTGTTAGTTGTTTGAGTCCAACTCCATCAAATACTTCTTTCTACTAACATGTCATTGATTTGTTGTCCTAGAATAGGCACCATGTAATGACAACCAACCTCTATGTTCGTTTACAACATTGTAATGAAAAAAACTATGTTAGCTTTTCTTCCCATATTTTCTCATTTAATGTACCAAATAGACCAACCTTTCGTAGCAACGCGATGAGAAAACATATTAGACATATGAGTCATATTTCCCAATATTTTTTCCTATACCGAGCACATCACCCGCAGCGAAGCGCTGGTAGATTATTTGTATGGAAGAAAAATTGGAAAATTTTAAAGGGAAACCAATTTGAACATGCAAAAAAGTAAAAAAACAAAAAAAGGATTAGATAGCTGTTCAAATAATTCTTACCATTATCATTTATGAATAATTAATTTGAACCAATTGAATACCAAATTTACACCCCAAACAAAAATAGTAAAGTATGATCCAAATAGATGTAATTAGCTACAAATAGTTATGCATGCATAGGTCCATGCAGCGAGCGAGGTGATTGATGGCAGCGGGTGACCCTGGTCTAGTCTACCACACCACAGCACGCCATGCATGCACCTGCAACTGGTCAGTGCAGAGGCGGACCAGACCATGCACCTCGGGGCGACGCGCGTGGGACTCCGGAGCACGCATCGTGCACAGGCGTGGGCGGCTGTCCGTGCTGGATCGGTAATTGGATATTATTTGTTGTTTTGGCTATGCTTGGATAAGGTCCATTTGGATTTGGGTATCATCCCCATGTATGATTCAGTGGTGTTCGAATTTCATTGGAGAGCAAGTTAAAAAATCCAATGTCTATTAAATATCTTTGGACTTGAGAGAGTAGTTTATAATGTCTAGCATGCATTTCTAACTAATGTGTAGCTGACTAGCTTAGATTTCTTACTAATGCGGGTTTGACATATTGGCTTCGATGCACTAATATACACAGTAGCTGGTTGTTATATTGAGTTATTTTAAATAAATTTTAATCAATTTTTAAAATTTATGGTCTCATGGTCGCTGGAGTTTGCACTGGGATCGGGATCGCATCATAGGCTACGAACTCGACGGTGACTAGTGCGAACTGTCCACACCGAACGGTATGGGATTTGCTCTGATCTGTTGTCCCGTCCGATCCCACGGTGAGCTGAGACTCACCGAGTGGTGGTACCAAGTGGCTAGGATAGGTTTTTTGTAATGGTAGAGCAGTCATTGGTCTTGGCGCAGTCCACCATTGAGTCTGGCGCGGAGACCAATAAAACGAAAGCGGCAAGATTTTTGCGCGCACGAGGTGAGCAGTGTCCGAGGCCATTCCCTAAGGTATCCAGAAATTCACTCAGTAAATTTGAAAGCACTGGACATCTTCACCTACGCATGGTGGGTCGAAAGCAGGTAGACACATTTAATGCCTTCCCTCCATGCTACCATCACATAAAAACAAGTTGGGCAGGTGGACACATTTAATGCCTCTCCTCCTTACCATGAGATAAAAACAATCCACCGACCATGCAGGAATATTTGTACTTACACATGCATCCATGCATCAAATAGACAGACGGTGTGCCTGCATGGCCGGTACCTAATTAGCATGCTGGTCGGCACGCATGCGAGTACGCGTACGCGCATGCTGTTGGGCCCTTGCTTGCTTTGCATGCATGGCCGGTGCCCCAGTTGTACCCGTTCTTATCTCCTTGTGAGAAGGTAAAATTTTATGGCCTGTCCTTTCTCTACGAGAATACGTCAAAAGTGGGCCAACGGCAGCAGAAGTGCATGCATGCACGCCTTTAAACCAGCAGTGGCTTTAGGCCAACTAGCACCCATCCCCACAAAAATACTAACACTTCAATGTCCTTTACCCATACCAAGAACACAATTTGCTAAGTAAAGAACCAAAGTACTATTGACATGTTTAATAAGCAGAGATGCTTAGTAGCCAGGATGGATACGACTATGATAAGACATAAGATGCATGCGCCCATGAAAATTGAATGTATATAGAATTCAGCAATCTCTAGGTCTATTAGCTATGGACACTGAACAACTGGAAGCCTCCATGGAAGCACTGACTAAAGCTAAAATGGAAAGGGAAAACAAAAGCAGTACACATGCTTGTAGGACAAAGATGAAAAGTAGTGATCTTCATCAGTTCTAAGTGAACCGCGGCAGGACCACAGACCGCTCCGTCTTTATAAGCAGAGCCTAGCTTAGCCATTGGTACCACCACTCAGCGCACTTTAGCTCGCTTAGGTTTTCCCTTTGAGAAAGCTTTTTGCTCAGCCCTTCTTTGTAGCCACCGCTAGAAATGGCAGGAGCCTAGGTTAGTAGTCACTGCCTGAATGTTGAGGGTTTTCCTAGAATCCTGCATGCCACCCTGCAAAAGCTCGGAGTTAAAGATCGTCCCGAGTATGACGGCCGTGAGTATGAGAAGCATGGCACCGATCGGTGTGAGGTTACCGTCTACATTGGGAAGAGTGAAGAGTTCCCCGACATCACCGAAGCCTGGAGTGTGACCGCAACCGGGTTTAGCTTCACTGACACCTACCAGGTTGTGGCCCGCAAAGCCTTGCGATACCTTTGCCAGCTCTCTGAAGAGCCCATTGCCCGTACCCCCATGAGGTTCTTTCCACCCTTGGATAGGAATCGGTGAGCATGGAGGGCTCGCATGGAGGCTTTGCAAGGGTAGGATACGCAAGAAGATAGTCCTACTGTGGTGCACTTGACCACGTACTTGCTTGCTCTGGATGAGCAGTATGATCGGCAAGCCTTGGA